TAAAGAAAATCTATGATACTATTGACAATAATAACAGAGCTAACAGATATGCTAATTATGTTAAATATATAATAAATAATATAAACAACAGATATAATAAAGATATAATAAATGTTATTCGTGTTCTATTTGGAAGATTTAGCAGATTTAACAGATTTGGCATATTTAGCATATATGTCATATTCGACAGGTCTGTCAGTTTCTACCGGTTTCAGCGTGCGTGATAAATACTTGATTAAAACGTGGTAAAAAGATTAAAATTAGAAATTTTATAAATGCTTCTGGGATTTGGAGATGGTCTAGGACTCTGATCAGCATAGTGATATTAACGCAATCATACGCTTTTGACATATCTTGAAATAAAATCCAAAGATTGTTGTGGTGAAATGAAGCATCGTACTTGACGTTGTCAAATATATGTATTGGTTCGAAAATGTTTCTGCAAGGCAAACCAGTGAAGTTGTTTCCTTTGAGAATGTTATTGGTGAACAGGACTTTTAAAAGTCGACCATTGATCAGTTTCGTGAGAGCTTTACGTGAACATTCAAGGAGTGTAATAGGCTGTGTATTGGTTAAGTTATACTCCCAGAGTTTTGGTTTAGGTATAGGGTACACGAAAGCTAAATTTCATCTACTGAGTGCTAAATTGAGTGATAAACATCTACAAATGATGATCCAGAAACATTTTGATGCAAAGGGCCGAGGTGTTTTAACATTTCGTTAGATATCTTAGATGGTCAAGAGCTTTTTCATCAGGAAGCGCCCTAATGATATTATGCTATTCTTCTTCTGAAGGGGTTGCATAATAGAGTTATATATATTGGAATCAATCGATTCGTCTAGCATATAAACTTGTTTCCAAACCTCAGGGAGAGATAGGTTGGAATATTGTGAGCCAACCACTTTTTGAAAATGTCTCGCCATTTTGTTTTGAACATCTTTAAGATCTGTGAGGAGTTCTTTGTCAGGACTGTTGTTATTTATACATCTGTCTAGTATAATAGTAGTGCGATGACGTTCTAATAATGAGTCAAACATAGCTTTTTGATCATCTGCAAAGTTAATGCAACGTCTTTTGATAGCTTCATTGATGGCATTAGTTTTAAGTTCAACTTCGTTTAACTTCATGGCTGTGGAAAGAACTTTACGAAGATCGACTAAAAGGGACAGATAGTTTTGATGACTTGTATTGAAGGGTGACTGATATCTGGAACTGTTATAGCATATTCTGTTAAGAAGGCTTGTATTTTTTTACACCAGGTGGTCCATTTAGGGTCAACTATATTATCCTTGATGCATTTGTTACTTGACTTGCAAAGTTTTTGAACTATCTTGATACGTTTATAAATCAATTTGAGAATACATGATCTAAGATCTCGGTTGTGATGCAAAGTATGCTTGTTAGGAATTGATTTAGTGGCAGCGTCTATAATTGATTTCTGTATGAGATCCCAATAGTAGTTCAAATAGTGTATTGTATGTATGCTATTTAACGAAATATTGTTGAGTCTTGTGTTTTTACATCGTTGATCAACTGAAGTTCCAAAGATAGACCAGTTATCATCAAACATTTCGCTATATCGATAGACTAACTTTTTTATTGCTGCACATTGAATGAAAGATGGATTGATAGATGTTAATGAAATAGTTGCGTATACAACAGCATGATCTGACAAATCATTATCAACTTTTTCTACTACATGATCGATAAGGTCTAAGATTAACGAAGAGTTCATAAAGATGTGATCTATTGTAGAACGTCCTGTACTAGTTTCATAGGTAATGAGATCTTCATATGATTTTTGATTCTTAACGAGATCTAAATTGTTGACCATGTGGAGATTATCGAGCGAGGTAAAAAAAGCTTTTGAATTCGAAGGATTAGAGGCCCTTGATGGATTTGCATTAAAGTCTCCAAGGATTATTGTAAGGAAATCTTTTGGTGTGTGTAATTTATTAGCTCTAAAGCTTTTTTGTAAGTTTTGTCTCGTAATGCTTTATCTGAGCTGGAAATATAAACGTTGATAATACGGGTTTGTGTTTGTTTTTAAATTGGAAATCTATCAAATAAATGTGATAGAAGAAAGAAGAGTAGTAGAAAACGTGGTCAGCTAGGTGTTTTTTAATGAGGAAGCTAATTCTGAATCCCATGCTTTGGGCGAAGGGGTCGATGTTAAAAAATGGAACAAATTTATTTGAACAAATGGGCTTTAAGGAATATATGTGAGATGGATTTTTAAAATTTGTTTCTTGTAAGACGATTATATCTAAATTATAAAGAGAGTAAAGATTGAAAAGGATTTGTTGTTTATGCGATAAGTAAAAGAACAAGTGTTATGGGTGGCGATATTAAGTGTAAAGGGCACTGTTTCTGTATTTGATGGGTGTGAAATCATAATTATTTAAAGAAGAGTTCAGGACGAGGACCTCTGTGCCATCTTCTGAAGTGTTGATTACGTCAGGCATATTGAGTTTAGGGATCAAAATTATGTGAACAGGGTGTGTATTTTCTAGGACCATATGTTGGATATTGGCAACGGCTTTGAAGGCGATATTAAGTTTCTACCATGATTTTGTTGTGGTTTCGTAGTTCTTCAGTCTCTGCATAAAGAATTGCGATGTGCTTTTCTTGTTTGATAACTTGAGAGTCTGATGTATCAACTTCTGGTTCGTAGACAGTGTCTGTATCTATAGCACCTTCTGCTTTGGCCACTTTATTGAGTTCAGCTGCTTTTTTAGATGTAAGTGTGAAAATATTTAGGTGCTTTTCCACTTCATCGAGACAGTGCATGAAAAAAGTGAGGTCGTTGTGAATTGTTGTAAGGGTAGCTGTGATAGCATCCAGTTGATTTAGGATTTTTTATGTATCTGTTAATTCATGCGTAGATGTTTTAGGTGATCAGTAAGGTACGTCTGCCTCGTCCATTTGTTCTGATCACATTTTACGCGTGTGGATTGATTCATCAAGAGAAGACTTATTCTTTTGTATTTTGGGTTTCTTGGTACTTGTTGAAGGAGTTTTAGCGGGAGGCTTGACATCCTTAATTCTATTCGCAAACGAGCGGAGTTTTTGGATTAAACATGGTCTCCTAGTCATATACGAATGTGACCTTAGGATGGGACGCAGGTGCTAAATAATTTTTAAATTGCGCAGGTTTATAGCGTTGGTATAGGTTTTGGGTTTGTTTGTCTTTGAAGGTTGGTCTTTTTCATTTACAATTTTGCGAGTCGTATTTAGAAATGGAACAATGTATATATAGGTTGGTATCAGGTGCAGTCCAGATGAGTTTTTTATTATCAAACTCAATAGGATCCCCATTTTTTGCTGCGTTGAGATCTTCTTTATTACTGAAATGCATAAAAGCATATTGGAGATTTCTATAATTTTATTGTGCTTTGGGAATTACCTATGTGATAGCATTGACTGCTTTACCGACAGGTTCCAATTCTCTTCCAGTAGTATCCTTAGAAAGGTTCGTAAGCTTCAAAGTAAATTGGGAACGAGCCTTGATTTCATCGACAGTAAGCGAACATACGTGTACTCTGACCATATCTTTCAAAACAAAAAGGCCAGCATGAGAGTTAAAAATGGACAAATCTATTTTAGGTGCATACGAAATAGTTGCCTGCTGCTAAAGATTTTTCGTCATCATTGTGCATTTAGTGATCGTACCAAATTGAGCAAACGTAGATCGGATGATCTACTCTGATGTGAAGATCAGGATTTCTGTGACCTTGATTGACAGATTTGTGTAACAAGAGGTATAAACGTGACGTTATCCATATTGGGAATTATTGCAGCCATTGTACGATTGGTATCATCTCGAGTTGTGAATCCTAAATGGACTATTTTCAACGTTTTTTATTTGGATCTTGCTTGATAGATGCACTAATGAATTAAGGGAATGCTACGCCATTGAAAAGTTTGTAGGTTTTGTTGGTCTTTTCTCTAAAGAATTTATTTAGAAGAAAAGTTCCTATGGCACAGTAAATATAGAAAGTAGTTACGTCTCAGACTCTTTCAAAGGTAATGGTATTCCTGTTAGTTTCATAAATTTTCTGAAACGTTAAAAGCTTGGTCTTCGTCCATTTTATTTTCAGCACTGGGGATGTCATTTTACTATCCTTTGGTTAGAGGATAGTGGAAGAACTAGTAGTAGTTATTTCTTGAGCATTGTTCTCTTTGGGAAACTAGACAGTATTATCGTATTTAAAATTTTTTCCTTCTGTGAGGACTGCTTCTACTTGTTCGTTTATACTCATATCACCAGCTGAAAAAATGTTGGTGGTAGTTATGACGTTAGATAGTCCAGCTGGAGTTTCTAGTGTTTGGGCAGACCTGCCAGTTATAGTTTGCTTCTGGGGAGGTTCTTCTTTATTTTTAGTTAGAGAGTCTAGGCGGTTTCACAAGTTGTGGTTATTATTTTGTGAAAATTTTTGATTTTTTTCTTTTTCCATTTTTTGTTTTTGGAGAGAGAGGGGAAAAGTTTTTTTGGATATGCAAAAAAGATTTTTTTTTTTTTTTTTTTTAAGTGTGGCAGTCTCGCATAATCTTTATTAATATTTATAAAATTACAAAAAGAAAAAACAAAATAAAACAGAAAATACAAAAAATCTATAAACTAATTTAGAGATCTAAACTACTTTATCAATACCAACCTTGCACTTTACCGAACTAAACTATATATTAGATAAGAAAAGAAACTAATCTAAACTAACGTACAGATATCGGACGTCCGTAAGGGAAGACGTGGTTACTGCCATACCAAAAATTTGATCAGTGAAAATCAAAAGCAAGAGCTGCAGAAAAGGAGGAGGGGTTATTGTGCGAAGTTTGTGTAGGTTGTGGGAGTCTAAAGGAGACCCAAGCAACAGTGAAATCGTCTTTGATATTGTTTGAAGATTTTCAACTTTGTAGAGATGTGCATCGTGTCAGCCATATTTTATGAGCTGAGGAGAAGATATCATCAAATAAGGATGATAATAAGCCTTGGGTGAGTTGTTTGTTGTTAGTGACGGAAGTGATTGAGAGGGAAAATGACGAGGGGATGATTCCTTTTATGAGATCCATAAAACATAAGTTGTTATTGAAGGAGTTGCAATACCATATCGAAGATTGATCAATATCATTGATTAGAGTATCATTGTTAGGTCTATTAATTTCTTTGAGGTGAGACAAGAAGGACTGTTTGTGCTTTTGTATTAAGCTAGTAAGAGAAGTTATATTTTGGGAGCAAGACCAAATGTGATCAAAGTCTTCAGTTGCAATATTACACTGGAAGCAGGTATTAGTGATATAAATTTGGGGATATCATGCATTCATTATTGTAAAAGTAAGGAGTAATTGTAATAACAATTTGATTTTGAATTGCTTCCATTTGCACGCATCGAATGATGTCACCCTAGAATTTTCTGAATTATTAAGGACATAAAAGAGAGTTTGCCAATCGATGTGAAAATTGTGATATTTTGCAAATTGGGAAAGGGATAAAAGTATTTCAGCCCAAGATGCTTGTTGCATGTATTTAATGAATAAATGTGGTGGCGTAATGATTGGAATATTATTATAGCTCATAAAGTATTTAGGACCAAGATGGTTACTGTTAATACTCAAAGAAGCACCAGAGAGTTGTTTAGCTAAAGTATCTACTTTATTGTTAAGTTTATCTGATCCATGAGCTTTGACTTTTTTCAGTGACAACACAATATTGTTGGATGTAATAAGTTGTATCAAGATTATCCAAATATGGAAATAAGAAATTTTGAAAGCAGGGTTTAGAGAGGGAGATTCCTTACATATGGTGATGATTTTATGATATGAGGCAATTGCAGCTTGTGAGTCTGTGCAGATTTCAATATTGGAGTTCAGTAGAGTGGTATATATTGCAGCAAGAATAGCAACTATTTCTGCTAGTGTTGAAGAAGGAGAGTGTGAAACAAATGTTGCATTAAAGGAGAGCAAAGGCCAATTTTGATCAGTTTGTAACCACGCTATTCCTATCCGGCATTCAGAAGATCCTAAGGATGTGAGTGAACCATCTGTGTAAAATTAAAGAAAATTAGCATTAGTAAGTTGGAATTTAAGACAATCTAATTTATTAATGGATGTTTGATCGAATGGTAGAATATCTAAGTTAGGTAGAGGTTTGGTTGGATATTGATAAGAAGAAGTTAATGTTAATAAGGAAACTTTGCGAAGCATAAGATAAAATAAACTGCATCATCATCTCTCGCGGGGTTTGTGAAAGACTTTAAATATAGTATAAAATGGCTTGGGTATTTTAATAGCACAAAAATGATGGCGTTGTTGTTGTTTGTAAGGTATAAAAGCTGAATGGTCAAAGAGATCACATCTAGTACAAGGAGTAATAGGTGTTTGAAGGCTTTCAGCATGATTTGGCAAATAATGTTGTACATGGATGAGAGTATCTTCGAATTTGACTACTTTATCCAAAATAAATGTCATATACTGGTTAGACCATATTATAACAAATTTTGGATTGGTTGTTGAAGCGTTGAAGTTAAGCGGCCGAGTTGGCGTTTTAATGAGTGATATATAAGGGGCACTTGCCGAGCAAGAGTCTATTCGAAGTACTGGTTAGGAGCTGTGACTCCAATTGTTTGAACCATTTGGCGCTATAGAAAACTGAATCATAAACTATATTTAGGTCAAAGGCCGTCAATAGGTAATTTCCATTCATAATGGTGAGTTGGTCAACGTATAAGATTAAGAGTGAACGCAATTTCATAATATTTTGCCGATATACCTTTGAAGGGAGGGAATGTATTATTAGAAGTGACCCTCCATCAATTTGTTTTAGGTTATAATCTTTATCTATACATTGTTAGAATTTAAGTCCAATCTGTTTAGCAGCTGACAGTAATTCTGACCACCAGTCCTTAAAGGACTTGGAGTCTGTATAAGGCCAGTCAGTTAGCGGAGATGATAGTAACTATTCTGTTAGTTGCAGTTATAGAATTCGTAGTCGTGAAGTTGAACCAAGGAGTGAAATATCATTAATCATCTTTAATAAGTCCGATGATTTGGCTTGCATTTATTTGTCATATAGATATGCTAAATTGTAACCATAGGTTGAGTGGAGAACAAAAGAAGATATAAATCTTGAAAGTTCTAGTTTTTTTTTGAAGAAATTTCTGAAGGAGGCCATCAAAGTGTCACAAGCTAACCGAGGGACAAACGTCAGTTTTGTTTTGTATAAGAGATGAGGGATGATGATTGTGTTGAAGATTGCAACCATTTGTTTAGCAGTCAGCCTTTTTTTGTTAAGCACGTTTTTTGTTTTAGTAAACTCTCACTAATCTGTTTAGTAATGAATTATCTGTTATTAAACAGAGATACCCAGACTCCTAAGTATCTAGTAGAATTCTTGTGGTGTAATGGTAGGAGCCAAATATTTTTTTATTGAAGTTGAAGTTAACTGGGAGGAATCTTTGTTATTAATCATAAGGACAGATTTGTTCCAGTTAACCTGAATGCTATTAAGTGAATAGAAGGAATCTGCAATACTCATAATATTTAGGAGATCGGATCTGGAATTTGCAAGCCAAATTGTGTCGTCCATATAAGCCAATGTTGGAATGTGATTTGAAAAGCTTTGTATATTGCGTTTTGTAATATCAGTATTCCAGTGAACATGTTGTGTATAACCGTGTGAGGGGTTTTGTATAAAACAAAGAAGCAGGTCATAATATATACACCACAAGATGGGTGATATAATTTCGCCTTGATTGATGCCTGAGAGAACTAAATAAGTATCAGAGTTACCATGCATGGTAAACACTTGATTAAAACGAGGAAGGAAGATCGAGATCAAGAATTTTATAAATGCTTCTGAGATTTGGAGGCGTTCAAGGGCTCTAATCAACATAGTGATATTAACACAGTCATATGCTTTTGACATATTTTGGAATAAAATCCAAAGGTTATTGTGATGAAACGAGACGTCGTAATTGACATTATCAAAAATATGAATAGGTTTAAAAGTGCTCCTGCAAGGGAGACCAGCGAAGTTGTTTCCTTTGAGAATATTGTTGGTAGACAGAACCTTTAATAGCCGACCATTGATTAATTTTGTAAGAGCTTTGCGTGGGCATTCGAGAAGTATGATAGGCCGTGTGTTTGTTAAGTTATACTCCCATGGTTTTGGCTTGGGTATTGGGTATACAAAAGTGAGATTCCATATACTAGGTGCCAAATTAAGTGACAGGCATCTGCAAATGATGATCCAGAAACATTTTGCTGCGAATGGGCTGAGGTGTTGTAACATCTCATTGGAAATCTTTGATGGTCCAGGAGCTTTTCCATTAGGGAGCGCACTAATGATTGTGTGCATTCTTCCTCTGAGGGAGGTTGCATAATGGAGTGGTATATTGTAGGATCGATTGGTTCGTCTGGCGTATAAACTTGTTCCCAAACCTTAAGGAGAGATGGGTTAGAATATTGTGAGCCAACCACTCTTTAAAAGTGTCTTGCCGTTTTATTTTGAACATCTTTAGGATCTGTGAGGAGTTCTTGGTCAGGGCTGTTGTTGTTTATGTATCTGTCTAATGTAATAGTAGTGTGAGGATGATCTAGTAACGAGTTGAACATATCTTTTTGGTCTTCTACAAAGTTAGTACAACATCTTTCAATAGCTTCATTGATGGCTTTAATTTTAAGTTCAGCTTCATTTAACTTTGCTTTGGTGGATAGAACTTTTCAAAGATCAATTAATAAGGGACGAATCGCCTTAATTTCTTATAACGAGGGTTGACTAGTATCCAGGATTTTTATGGAATATTCAGTCGAGAAGGCTTATATTTTTTTACACCTGGTTGTCTATTTGGGGTCTACAATGCTATCTGAGAGGCACTTGGTATTTGACTTGCAAAGTTTTTGGACTATCTTGATACATTTATAAAGTGATTTAAGAATACGTAGTCTAAAGTCTCGATGATGGTATGACGTGTATTTATTGTAAATTGTTTTGATGGCAGCGTCTATAATTGATTTCTGTAGAAGGTCTCAATAGTGGTTCAAGTGGTGTATAGTTTGTATGCTGTTCAGCGACATGTTATAAAGTCTGGTGTTTTTGCACCGTTGGTCAACTGAGGATCCAAAAGCGGACCAGTCATTCTTGGATATTTCATCATATCGAAAAACTAGCTTTTTAATCGTAGCATGTTGAGTGAAGGATGGATTAATGGATGTTAATGAAATGGTAGCATATACGATAGTATATTTTGACAAATCGTTATCAATCTTTTCTACTGTTTGGTCAATAAGGTCAGGGATTAGTGAAGAGTGCATAAAAATGTGATCTATCGTAGAATGGCTAGTGCTAGTTTCAAATGTAATAATGTCATCATTCTGTTTTTGATTTTTGACAAGGTCTAAGTTGTTGATCATGTGGAGATTATTTAGCGAGGTGAAGAAAGCGTTTGAGTTCAAGGGATTGGAGGTTTGTGATAGATCTGCATTAAAGTCTTCTAGAATAATTGTAAGGAATTCCTTTTGATGTGCCTCATTTATAAGATCTAAAGCTTTTTTGTATGTTTTGTTCCGTAAGGTTTTATTTGAACTGAAAATATAAATGTTAATGATACGGAGTTTTTGTTTGTTTTTGAATTGGAAATCTAGTGAATATATGCGATAAAAGAAGAAAGAGTGATGAAAAATATGATCAGCTAGGTGTTTTTTAATGAGAAAGCCCACTCTGAACCTCATACTTTATGCGAAAGGATCAGTGTGAAAGAAGGGAACGAAGTTATTTGAACAAATGGGCTTTAAGAAGTGTATATGAGATGAATTGTTAAAATTTGTTTCTTATAAGATGATGACATCTAAATGGTAAAGAGAGTATAAATTAAAAAGGATTTGTTATTTGTGTGGTAGGGTAAACGAACGAGTATTGTGGGTGGTGATATTTATGGTAGGGAGTACTATTTTTGTATTTGGTGGTTGTAATATCATAATTATTTAAAAAATAGTTCTAAGGCGGGAACCTCTGTGCTATCTTTTAAGGTGACGACTGCACTAGGTATGTTGATTTGAGGAATCGGAATAATATGTGCTGGGTGGGTATCGTCAAGGACTATATGTTGGATATTAGACACTGCTTTGAAGGCGATATTGAGTTTTGCTATTGTGTCTTTATTGTGTTTGCGTAATTCTTCAGTTTCTACATGAAGGATTGCGATATGTTTTTCTTGTTCAATGACTCTGAATTTAGATGTATCTACTTTGGGTTCATAGACAGTGTCCGTATTCATAGCGCCTTCAGCTTTAGCAGCTTCGTTGAGTACAGCAGCTTTTTTTTGATATTACTATGAAAATGTTCAGGTGCTTTTCCACTTCATTGAGACGATGCATCGAAAAAGCAAGGTCATTGTAAATTGTAGCAAGAGTAGCAGTAATAGTATCCAATTAGTTTAAAATCCTTTGCGTGTCTATTAGCTCATTTGTGGGTGTATTTAGTGATCAGTGTGGTGTATTAGTTTCATCCATTTGTTCTGATCATGATTTTCTCGCGTGAATCGATTCATCAAGTAAGGATTTATTGTTTTGCATTTTAGGTATATTGGGTCGTGTTAAAGGAGGTTTGACCAGAGATAGGGCATCCTTTATTCTATTCGCAAATGAGCGTGGATTTTTGGATTGAACATTGTCTCTTGATCATGAACGAAGGTGACCTTTAGACGAGGCGCTGGTGCAGAGTAATTTTTAAACTGCGCAGGTTTATAGCGTTGATAAAGGTTTTGTGTTTGTCTATCTTTAAGAGTGGGTCTTTTGCATCTACAATTTCGTGAGTCATGCCTAGGAATGGAACAGTGCGCACACAAGTTAGTATCTGGTGCGGTCCAGATGAGTTTTCTGTTGTTGAACTCAATAAGGTCTCCATTTTTTGCCACTTCGAGATCGGTCTTGTTACTAAAATGCATGAATGCATATTAGAGGTTTCTATAATTCGATTGT